TAATTACAAAAGAAAATATTAAACTTCATTGGGATAGTTATAATGTTATTCCCTTTACACCATACATTATATTTCTACCTAATGCTCAGGATCTATTGTAAAACATGTTACACTGTAGCCTGCACAGTAATCTATTATCCCTATGTGCACAGGTGGGGTTAAAGTGCACATTCCACAACCTTTTACAGAGTGCCATTCAACATGGTATTATGTATTTGATGTCAAAGTTATGAACTATTCATTTTACCCTAAATTGCCCTTTAGTGACAGTTCATAGTAGAGTAAATACCAGACATAATATACAGTGATAGTGAAAAAACTGTAAATATGCATCACAGAGCTTCTAGAAGTTATGCAAATGCAGTACACAAACTGTATGATGGACAAAAGTATTTTTATTCTTCACAAGAATATCACCTCGTACTCCAAATTTTCAGAGTCTGAGACAGGCTGACAATCAATTCACATAAATAACTTCAGAACAAATGTTTGCAACACATCTGATTCAATGTGTACAAAAGACTTGTATATTTTACAAAAAGCTTGCCATCTCTTGTGTAGATACACAAGATAAATTTGGAATTGTAGTCAACATTTGTTGTTCACTACAGGGTCAGTCCAAAAAACCAATTCCATGCATGTTCAGTCAAAATGACAAGGATAACCTCATCAAAATCTTTTGAAAATGTATCTGATGCTTCTTAATACATGTTCAAAGGATCTAGGTTAAAAGATCAAGTCATTGAAATTAGTCCAAATGTAGCAAATCTGCATATTTTCTCCACCTAAACCAAGATTGAGAAAATTGACAAATCATTCTTTGCTAAGAATATTGAACATTTCAAAATGGAAAAATATTTAAATACAAAAAAAGTAAGCTAAGAACATTACTGATTTCACATTACTAAATACATTACTGCTATACTAGTGACATGAACATGGGTGATAAGAACCCACTATATGCCGTATAAAGATGACAAGGCTGCTCAAGAGAGAGAAAGCATAATGTTGAAACTTGACACTTCTCTAAAGTTTTAGCGCATTCTTAAAACAACTGACAAAGATGTTAATCATAATGATTAAACATATGCAAGAGATTTACCATTTTAAAAATTGAATGACAATTGAATATATACCTATGTATATGTTTGTTTTACAAACTTTCTCCAGAAATTTTGATTCTAATACAAAGCCTATCTCCCTTTGGCCATTTGTAATATATCCTAGCTGGTTGTTGAGTCACTTAAACCTTGCTTATTGCAAGACAACACCTCAATTCAATAGCTTTAATACGTTAGCATGTGCACAGAATGAGACAAACCTACAAAAAGGGAAGAACAAAAAGTACATTGTGGGATAAGTATCTAAAACTAATCTGTATTTATAAAATGCTAACTTACCTCTGTTTCTTTGATACCATGCATTAAATATCAGGTAGAATACAGGATAAAACATAAGTACAGAATGATGAGAACCCAATTAATCAATAATATACGAGCATTGATTAGTGTCACATAAGATAATCGATGAATCAAAATTAGTCAAATACATTAATGCCATGAAAATAATTAAAAAATAGAAATCAGTGTTTCCAACTATTACCCCTTCTCTATTATTCCAACTATTCAAGTCTCAGGTGAAGATAATTAATTAATGAGCTCAAAAATTAATCAATTAGGAAATTACACTAGCTGCCTAGCTCTAAACAGAAAGCATCAATTTTCATGTATAAAAAGAAGAAAACAACTATTACCCCTAAAAGTTGAGTACAATAACAAAAATATGTGGCTCAACTCAGTATAAAAGAGAGCTTAGGAGTTCCAGTACTACTAGATACAAAAGCAATGACACATAAATATAGTGGTGTATAATTCTTTTAACTTCAAAAAGATGAATGAGGATAGACTAGACTAACCAATTCACATGAGGATTTATCTCCCTGGTATTACATATGTATAGTGAATATCATGCTCACACCATTACTGTGAGCTTGGAATCCTAGGTTAAAGCCATAGTCAGTACTATTTGTTTTTGGTATATTTTAAAGAATTATACCCAAAAATATTTTACATTTAAAAAATAACTTATAAATGCAAGAAATACACTATACAAACACTGATTAACAAATAAACTTCAAGCTGTATATAAATGTCATTCCTACAAACATAACTCACCTGCATTCCTAGTTTTATTGAAATTGCCATTGGGTTTTTCTTATCTTGCGTCTGAAGAAACTTAGCTGAATTAAAAGACTTGGTGAAGCCCATTGAGATTTTCTGTTTTTTTGTGGCACTGTTCTCTTCTCCACTCTTGTCACCTTCCTCACCCAGCTTCCTCTTCTCTGCTTCGACTGCCGATGGTTGTTCATCCTCTCTGCGAGAAGGTTCGGTATTAGGCTTGATTTTTGGAAGGGAGTCCAGATCATCAGAGCCTGGGTCAAGGTGAAACACACTGGCAAATTTAAAATCTCATTCTTCAGAAGAAGCCTTTCACAACCACATAGTATATGTTAGAACAGGAAAAGGCGGCGGCACTGGCAGCAGTGCCGCAAGCTTCCAACTACAGCAAATAAAAATGGAAGGTGTCATTACCCTCTGGATGTAAAATGATTGAAATAAGCAAACAATTTTGATTGCTGTCTTTGCGACTACAAACCACGGAAGTACAGATGCCTGTCAGATTCTTGTGTTGTCACAAATCCACCAAGATAAACTGCCATTCCTCAATTGCAGCACAAACAATACATTGAAAAGTTTTTAATATAAATCAAGGTTGTTTAAATATATAAATATCAACACAAGGAACAGTCACTTAGTATTCAATCAGTATATTCATCCCCTTCAATTAGACTTTACATGTATTAAGCAATAATGATCTTGCATGCCTATACATGTAATTAATAGCTTTATACCAAACCCAAACTAACTAAAACAGGTGTATAATGTTAACTTCTCTAGAAGACACAGTTATCACAAAAAATGCTTCTTCCACTATAATGATGTTAAGGTATACGAAATGCTTAAAATATTGCCAGATTGTCACCTAAAAACACTGTGTACAGCAAAAAAAAATGATGATGAAATCTACAGTGGGAATAAAAGATATATGCATGAGAAGACTTTTACAGACATTGACATGAAGGCTCTGTGTCATTACAAAGTTTGTACATGGTAAAATGAATTTATGGGACAAGGCTAATTATCTCCTTCTAGAATGAAGAGGAATGGCCTTCTATTTATCCAAATCTTGGTGCAAGTACAAGTTATCTTTTTTTTATTTATATCTATAATAATAATAATAATAAAAGTGTGGGTGGGTGGGTGGGTGGGTGTGTGTGTGTGTGTGTGTGTGTGTGTGTGTGTGTGTGTGACTGCCATAACTCCAAGAGGAAAGACACTAAAAACCTGAAATTTTGCACCCATACTAAGTGGACCCTGAGGGTGTGCACCTGGGTATTATTGATTATATATATGTGTGTGTGCACGCATGTGCAACTTATGTGAAAACCATATAGAAAAAAAATTTGACTGCCATAGCTACAAAATGAAAGAACATTAGAAACCTGAAATTTAGAAATAGAAATCACAGTTGTGTGTGTATGAACGTGCCTGTATATGTATGTGTGACAGATATAGCTCCAAGAGGAAAGAACCTAGAAACCTAAAATTTTGCACCCATACTAAGTGGACCCTAAAGGTTTGCACATGAGTATTATTAATTATCTACGAGTGTGTGTGTGTGAGCACACATCTCTTTATGCAAAAAACCATATAGAAAAAAATGTGAATGCCATAGCTCCAAGATGAAAGAACCTAGAAACCTGAAATTTAGAAATAGAAATAACAAAAAATTTACAACTAGAAATAACAATTTTGTGTGTGTATGCACATGCCTGTCTGTGTATGTGTGACCGATATAGTTCCAAGAGGAAAGAACCTAGAAACCTGAAATGTTGCATCCATACTGAGTGGACCATGAAAGTTTGCACATGGGTATTATTAATTATCTATGTGTGTGCATGCACATCTTTTTATGCAAAAAAACACATAGAAAAGAATTGTACACATGTGCACACATCTTTTTAATGAGGCAAGTTAGCGAAAATCTACATAGAAAAAAGTGGATCCTTATATTACAAATAGAAATCGTAGACTGACAGACACGAATGTGTGCACATGAGTGTGCGTGTGTGACCACCATAGCTCCAAGAGAAAAGAACCTAAAAACCTGAAATTTGCTCCCATACTAAATAGACCCTGAGGGTTTGCACCTGGGTATTATTACTTATTTACATGTGTGCATGTGCATTTTTTTATGTGAAAAACCACAGAGAAATGTGACTGCCATAACTCCAAGAGGAAAGAACCTAGAAACTTGAAATTTTGCATCCATAATAAGTTGGCCCTGAAGGTCTGCACATAAGAATTATTACTTATCTTATCCATGTGCATGCATATATATGCACATCCTTTTAATGAGGCAAGTTAGCAAAAAAACCACATTTTAAAGAAGTGGTTCCTAATATAACAACTTATAATATATAGAAAAGCCAGTACATTTTGGTAGCAATGCATTCCAATAATGGCATTTATATCATGTTGCTTAGTAATAAAAGTATAACGTAATATTCTAGTTAGAAGGCTATGTGCAGAAAGTATAAAATGAAATGTATAAACTAAAAAAAATTGAAAAAATATTTGTTCTTTTCTAATTTAGAGCTCCATTAATTAAATTTGTTTTTTATTTAATTTTAAAATCAGAGGTCAAGTCAGAGGGAAGGTTACCTTTATAAACATGACATCCTATAAAGGAGCAACAAAAGTATATAGGTTATACTTTTAAGGTAAAATGGGTTCAGAATACACACACACTGACAAAGTCATCTAGATTAAATCAATCTAATAACTCGAGTGAAGCCGGGTAGTTTCAATAGTTTGCCTCATTAAAAAGATGAGCACACATGCACACACTTGGGTAAGGTAAGTAATAATACCCAGGTGTTCACCCTCAGGGTCCACTTGGTATGGGTGCAAAATTTCAGGTTTCTAGGTTTTTGCTCTTGGAGCTATGGCGATCACATTTCTTTTCTATGTGGTTTTTCGCTAGCTTGCCTCACAAAAAGATGTGCATACACATGGATAACTAATAACACCCAGGTGCACACCCTCAAGGTCCACTTAGTCTGAGAGCAAAATTCCTGGTTTCTAGATTATTTCCTCTTGGAGCTATGGTGATCACACACACAAAGACGCACCTTTTTATTATTATAGATATACGTACACACACTCCTTGGAATACAAGTTTAACCCTATCTCAACGGGTCACATGTCAAAGGCCATGTCATCTCATTTGTTGATTTACATTCAAAATTTTATTGAACTACTATTTTATGAATCTACATCAATAAGTTTGGTATCAAACTGTTGATTATAATTCAAATGTTAGCATTATTTCGTAACTTAAAACATCGATTTTTGTGTGTCACCTGGTATGATGAATGCAGCACTTGTTCAAATTAAATGTTTGTAATGTGAAAATACAAAACCTCCAGTTCGTACGAATTTGGAACTGAAACTACCAATACTGACAAGCTAAAATATCACTCCTGTACTGAATCAAACACTGCCCTTTCCACCCATTTTTGGAAACAGTCCCTTATATACACTTACTTCCATATATTACATGAATAACCAATCAAAAGCTCAGAATGTCCCCCTACTGGTTTTCTCGGCCATTATGACATGCTAATTTCATTCTTTTCATACAAGATTTGAAACGATGAGGTAAGTCTTTAGTGTGCTCAAAATTCCATATTTTTTTTAGACCCAAATACAGCTTAGTTACTACGTTGATAAATTATAGTGAAATTCTATGGTACTGATACAATAATTTATGATTTTTTGATTATTTAAAATTTATATATAAAACCTAAAAAAAAAAAAAAAAAAAAAAAATTACTCTTTTTTACATCCTGAGAATTTATATATAAAACCTAAAAAAAAAAAATTCTCTTTTTTTACATCCTTCACGTGGGAAACTTCATAAGGCTTAGCAACCTATGACAAGTGGCAAACGAGTACAAAGGTTATAAGTAGAAGAGATAGTTGTTTGCTTTACTTCTTTATTTACTGTTCTATGTTTTTAAGAAAAATAAGTTTAAGAGCTTATTTGTAAGTAGAAATAATGTATAACAGTTGAAATGTGACTATTTTACAAAATACTAGTCCACTAAAACACAGCCAAGACAGGTCACTTTGTAAAGACTAAAGGTCAGTTATATATTATTGGATACGCTAACATGAATGCATGTGTGCCACATAATTGTAACTTCTATACGGTTAGCCAGGCATGGGTGGAAGGTCAATATACTAAAAATAATAAATATATATAAATGAATAACATTATGAGATTTAAGCTATTTAGACTAAAAATTTGTGTTTTCATGTTATATTTTGTAGTCATTCTAGAACAAAAAAAGCATAATCTATATTTTTTTCCTAATTTCTTTATGGTGGTTGCAAGATCAGTCAAATCTACCGAACCCGTACAGAGATTAATTACTGAGAATAACAGATAAAATATAATGTTTTTTTCTAAAGAAATGTTTGATAACTATCCGGACATTATAAAGATTTTGCATTTGTGAAATTTCAAAAGTTTCTGATGCATAAAAGTATTTTTAATATTAAAATGAAAATTATTTTGCATGATAGACAGGCAAGATGTGAAAAAAAAAAGGCATGAAAAAAAACATTTCTTTATAAACCTTAAGACTTAATAAAAAAATCAGATATTTTGCGTATAAAAGCATCGTAATCTTTATTGATAATCTGCTAAATTTCGTCAACATTCGCTTACAAGTTTAAAAGTTATAGCATGAAAACTATAACAAGCACAAAATGGTTATGAGTTCGGTCCCAGGGTCAGAGCCCTGGCTGAAAGAGTTAAACAAGCTAAGATGCTACCAGCGTTTCTACACTGTGTCTAATGCTGAAACTGACACTTGTACCATCTGCTCCAAAGCTTAACATCTAAGATTCAAATTCATTAGGTAAAAAAAAACCACCTAATTTTGGATAATTCAATTGATTTGAATGTTCATAATCATGCATGAATTATCAACTGACAAAAAAATACCAGTTCTCCTTGAGAGTCACTGGCTAACCACTAGAACCCACTGATGTTTGCCAGCTAGCCACTGCTAATTTCTAGACCTGAAAGAATAACTGAACTCTCATTGTAGTATGAGAATATTTCAGCCCTTTCCACGGAGTCTAAGACAATAAAGCAGAAACACCCACAAATCTAAAAAGTATTTGCCCTAATCTCATTGGTCTGATACATAACACTGAAAGAAATGCAATGCATTAATAACGTAAAGCTGCTGTTCCAAAGAAGAAAGGCATTTGAATGATATTAGAATCTAACCTAGGGATAGTATTGATAAGAGCTATAAGTCCAATAAGATACTGTATAACAACAACAACAACAAAAAAAAAGACTTACAAAACTTCAGCTATCTTAATCACAGAAGAAAGATGAAGGATAAGGAGAATCATTTTAACAAGCAAGACATCCCCCAGTCATCCACACAGAAATAGCACAGACAGAAAGCAAATAATCAAACCATTCAGGTGAAAATATAGGATGTAGAGGCAAAACTAAAATGAAAAGCTTGAAATTGATACATACCCCAGTCACTGCAAAGGAAAGATAAAATGTCCAAATTTTTAGTAATATGAAGAAATGCATTTGAAATTTTGATTTTTGACATCCATAGCATGTTAAATGACCAGGTAATAAATGATGAAGATGGAGGCCAACAGCAGTATTAATTATAGGTATTATTAATTCAAACACATTCATCATTATTGATGAAATTCTGAGTGAAGAATGAAGCTTTAATTGTCCCAAAGGCTGCAATAACTACATTTCAATTTTGTTCAATTACAACCCCATTCTCAATTGTTTAAGTCAATGTTGGTTGCCATATTTATGATAGCTAAAGAAGCTAGCATTAAAGACCTTTTGTCTTTGATCTGGAACAATATTACAGTAAAGTGTATGAAATTATTGATCTCACAAAATGGCCATGATAGTTCGCTAACATTAATTTACTTGAATGTGGCTCATTTGTTGTGGTAATGAAAATAAACCCCTTACCTAGGGTTTACACAGGTCCTTGAAAACTATAGGAATTTCAATAAAACCTATAAGGTCATTAAAACGTTTTTAACCTTTAATATTTTGTATAAAAACAAGAAGGAAAAAAAAATGTCTCTGATATGAAAACAACAAGTAAAATAATTGAAATCTGACTTAAGATTAATGGCTCTGTTTTTCTCAATTTTTTTCATTTTTACTGATTGCAATACCCATGTATTGTGTAATCAAAAGAAATATTTTAAATACTCCATTTCTTCACAGCAAGAGATGAATAGGCTAGCCCTGTGTGCCTGAAGGTTTGAAAATATTTTTTCATTGGTTTGGTTGCCGTTAAACAAAGCTATGCAATCGGCTATTATGATATGCCCACCATTGGCATTGAAACACAATTTTTAGTTTTACTAAATATTTATCATAGATTACAAAATCAAACGCATGGGCCCGAGTTCAAAGTGCTGTATTTTAAGTGAGTATGTATCACCATTCTTCAAACATATTTTCAATGTGAAATTTCTTATTGGGTAACATTTTTGTTAAGAGTGAAAAGCAGAAACATTAAAACATTTTTTGCAAATTCACAAAAACTTCTTAACTCAAGAACATAACTATCCATAAATTGTTTTACAACTTAAAAAACAAATTAAACATTTTTAAATATTCTAAATCAGTAATGAACAACTTGCACTAATCTGAGGGCCACACACAGTGTAGCAATTGCAATCTCAATGGCTTCATGACCCCCTCCCCTTTACCAGTCATAAGCCAAAAATGATAAATTTGAAGGAAACTGAGCTACATGTAAAATATATTTTAAGATGCATAAGAGGTCTCAGTTTGACCACTAGAGGGGCCACATGTAACTTATGGGCCTTGGGTTACTCACTACTGTTCTAACCTAGTTTATCTAGTCATACTGAAGACAGGTATAATCTCAGCTACTTTGATTTCAATCATCAATGCTCACAAAAGTCTCGCTTAACTCTTTAAACCCATAATTTGTTTGCACATTCTGCTGGAATTATTTTCATGATGTCCTGATAATTATCACTATATCTTATAAAATTTCCAGTCTATTTATAAAAGGTGGGTAATAACATGGTTTGGATTAGTTTTCAGTCAAAGAGACAAATGTTATCAGACGTTGTCACTGTCTGATGGGTAAATTGGAATTTTAGGCTGGGTGCTGGCAGCATCTGTTTGGGTTTAAGAAGTAAATTTACTAGAATGCTATCATACTCCACATAATCATTGTATTATATTAGCTATTACTAAATTGTGGAACAGTTGTTAGTATGCAAAACAAAAATAAAATGGTTAACAGTTTTAAAGAAAAAGTCAATTAGCTATTTCTGTCTCTAGTATAAGTAAATACAGGTGAATTAGGTTGGTTCAAGAGACTTTCATTATAAATATAAGCAAAATTTAATCCTTTTTAAAAAAAAAGCAACTGTACCTTCATCCTTATTCTGAAGATTGGCCATTTTTGCTTAGTACAGTTGAGATATCTAAATGGATATATCACTGATACATGACACTGATGCAAAAATACATGAAAACAGCAATACTTCTACTAAATTTCTCTAACAAATCCAAGCATTTACTATGAAGTTGACCAAAAGGATTAATTAACTCTATAATGAAAGTGTTGTCACTAAAGAATCTGAAGTTTTTCTTTTTATCTGGTTTCAAATCAGCTTTATTCACTTCTACAGTACATGAAAAGTAGCATTTCATGGATAATTACAAAATAATATAGCTATCTTCAAGTTTTGTACACCAAAAAATCTTTTCAAATATAACTATCTCTTCAGCTTGGTGTCACAATGAAATAGCTCCACTACCACTATATTTTTTCAGTTTATCCATATTCAAATTTTAAGTCTATATTAACCTATACACAGTAATTGTTCAAGTTCAAAAATTAATGGGCGCAAAAATAAAAAAATTGCACCCTTCGTTAAAATTTTCAAATAATGTTTTTTAAGATTCAGAATACAGGGTACAAAAATGGTATATAGTACAAAAATACATATAAAAAAAATGACGATTAATGTTTAGGAAACGGAACTTTATGAGCTTTTAACATGGTAGAACTTTCCCTTAATTTGTCCATATTAATTTTCTTTGGCGATTTTATTTTCTATAGAAATTACTGCTAGACCGTTTGATCTCTAATTCCATTGTGATATGCAAAAAATGTTTTTATCAACTTTATTCTTGAAAATGATCTTTTGCCACACTAATGGGCAAAGTTAATAAAATTCTTAGAGCAATAAACATATTTGAAAAAATTTCTTTGATTTGGTTTTCACATATATAAAATAAGACTATCTGAAGTTAAAGTTTCTGGTTTTCAATGTGATATTAATTTAACTTTTAAGTTCTGCACACAAAATTTCATCACAAATATCCCGTTAGTATTTTTTCTAAATTTTTACAATTTTTGCACCCCTAAACATTTGCAATGGATTATTTGAGCCCTTCTAAGTTCTAGTTCTAACCCTCCTTGAGTTGATCCTGCTTATAACTTATAAAAGTTATAAAGATCAAGTTAGAGCATGCAGTAAATCTTTGGTAAATCAACAGCATATTTAAACCAGTTTAAGGAAAAATATCCTTCACTTATAGGTTACAACAGCTTATAATTCTAGTTTTTACTGTAATTAACTTTACTAGATTTTATTCTATATTGATTATGAGACACTTTTTAATATTGTCATAATTTCTTGTCATAGTCGTATATTTGGAATAAAAAATCGGAATACATACATTTTTTAGTGAATGATAATTAACAATTTATTATAACTTATAATAGATTTGATTCTTCTGAGATTGACACCATTACAATGATAGACACTTAGGTTTAGTTATAATAATTAATATTAAATTAAAATTATGTTAGGCCTAACGTTAAATTTAACCAATGGCCAATATAAATTGTGGCCATGAGAGTATGACTTCCGAGTCTTGTGAGTGTCGTTGTCAATTGCTAATAAAATAAAAACAGTATCTTATTCTCGAGATTAATTTATTCGGAAATGTCTCCAAAAAATTATTCAGTGAAGAATCACGAATACCATGATTATTACTATTACAATAACCTTAACTTTGTAATATATTTTAAACCTACCTATCAAATTTCCCTCTGGATCGACTTCTTTCTCCGTCATACTGTTATCGTACACTCTTGAGTCTTGGTATAAAATCTTATTGAGTAATGCTTTATTTCACAAGTTTTTTGGCTGTCTTGGCATTAATAAATAAAAGTGTGTGTGATATAGCATAACAATAAAATTGATGCTAATTTAAATAACATTATTCTTTTACCTGCCAATACGTTTTTTTTAACAAAAATAAAGAAAAGTGTATAACAACATTTGAATTTAATTTTATTGCAAAAGTCCATAATAATTTTTAATTTAAGTCTTCAAGACCTATACCACTATGTATTGGAACATTCAAGAGCAGAGAGGACTGAGTAGTTATATGAAACGATTTGAATATGCAAATCATCAAGTTACGTAACAACCACAGGTCCACAGCTGATAAAATGTCAGGTGATACGGCATGAATTAAAATAACTATATGTTGAAAATGTTGACATTGTTTCGGCCCCCCAGTGACTCAGCGATAAATCTGATGACTTATAACGCTAAAAACCAGGTTTCGATACCCGTGGTGGGCACAGCATAGATACACAATTGAGTCGCTTTGCGCTTAACTACAAACGAACAAACAAACAGAACATTGTTTGATGCCACCAAAAAGTATTGCTCTTGTGGAAGATAAGTCACAGACCTTTACGATGCATAATATTCATACTGTTGCGTCAGCGAGGTCACGTGACTAGTGTCACGCCACGTTTTCT